GGCACTACAGGGCAGTGCTACATGATACACAGTACGGAGACCTTCTGACTGATGATGCTAAGCCAGCCTGCCGTGTTCACTTTGAAACCGGCTCCCAGCAAATGCTCAACTGCTACGCTTTTCTGTATGTGCGCTGCCCGGAGCTGCCATAATTAAGGGGATAATAGTGTAGCATGCAGTCGCTCAGTCAAGCTGTGTGCGGAGTGGCTTGCCTCTTCTGCGTACTGAACGTACAGTGCTTTCTACTGGTTGCCTGCAGGCCTTAAATGTCACTGCAGAAGTCCTTGTAGATAGCCGCTAATGTCTTTTCTTTGCCCGCGCATAGACTGCTTTGCCACTTCTTCGGATACGCTCCGATTTAGACTCTCCGCTTACGGGACCTTCGGGTCGGGAGATGTCACAATCCTTTTTCAATTTCCATCGGGGCTCTCAAGGGAAGAGTTGCGCTCTATGCGCCGGGGAGCCGTCCCTGCCAGAATACGGGAGCCAAGCAAGGACCTCTTTGCTGCGTGTGGAAGAAGTCGTCGTAGCAGTAGTAGTAGTGGTAGTGAAGTGGTGGTGGCCGTAGTAGTAGTAGTAGTAGTAGTAGTAGTAGAAGTAGAAGTAATCGGTGGTAGTCGTAGTAGTAGTAATCGTCGTCGTCGTCGTCGTCGTCGTAGTAGCAGCAGCAGCAGCAGCAGTAGCAGTAGTCTTCCTGGACTACCAACTATGCTTTCCCAATTCGAACTGAGTTGTGGATGTGCTATGCCGGCGTCATTACTCCCCCACTTCCCACCCCCGCGCTCAGATTCCGTTTGCATTCGCTGTTGTATTCACTGCTTTAATTCCGAAACCAACGCGGAAGAAACTGCTGATACAAAGTGTTGGCATAGTGGGATGCCACTGTCAATACCGAGTAAAACGCAGGGGTTGCGACCAAGGTGTGGGGCAAGCGTAATTGCAGAATTGTTTTCCGAGCGTTGGTGTGTTTTTTGGGGGTGTAAAGGCCTGCTGGAGTGCACGGTGCCTGGGTTGAGCGTTCGCGGCTATCCCCATTCTCCCTCCCGACCCCTCACTTTCGACCGCGCTCACCCGACATTACTTGATCGTTTTGCAAACTCACTCGATTGGAAAACACGGTAAGGAGCAAAAGTCGAAATCACTGTAAATACCGTATAAGGTGAAGGTGTTAAGAAGATGTAGACCACGTGTAGCCGGTGGGGGCAGTGGCCTGGTACCACTTACTACTGTTGCTACTACTACTACTACTACTACTAGTACCACCACCACTACCACTACCACTACCACTTCCACTTCCACTTCCACTACCACTACCACTACCACTACCACTACCACTACCACTACCACTACCACTACCACTACCACTACTACCACCACCACCACTACCACGACCACGACCACTACCACACTACCACTACTACCACCACCACTACTACCACCACCACCACGACGACGACTACTACTACTACCTGTCGTCGCATCAGAATAGCAGCATCAAGAACAGCGGTAATGTGGGTACTCAGTTGATGAAAGATGATTAACCAATACAGTTTATGCCTAGCAATAGTGTTTGCTTTTGATGTGATGTTGCAATTTCCGATTTCATATTGTTTCAGTAGGTTTTGCGTTTGTCATGATATGCCGTCTAATTCTTGCCACTATGATCGAATAGTTGAAATCATGTTCCGGGATTCATGCTGTTTGGTGACGTAGGGTCCGGGATAGCGTTCACAACTGAAAAACATGAGCAGAACACGTTTACACAGCCGCGTTCAGAAGCGGAGACCAGACGCTGCTGCGCAGCGTTACAGCAGCAATATTGAGGACCGAAGGACAACATAGTCAGAGATGGATGTGGCGGCCGTACTCCGGCAAGGAAAATGAGGTTGCAAGATAGCAAATACTTGTGATGGCACAGAACAGTGAGATGAGAGCACCGATGACGGCCTGACCACGTTTCAACTTCACGGGTCCACGAGCTCCCCACCCGAAGCCAAGAGCCTTGACGACCGCATTCTTGCGCAGTATTTCCACAAAGCAGCAAGCAGGAGGTGGAATCACTGAATCACCTTAATCACCTCACTGAGGCGACCGAGGCAAGCAGTTTCGATGTTTCTGGGGCTCCGACACCTCGCTGAACTCCAGCTTGAATGACGGCACCTCAGAGCCGGGTTTGGGTTCTTGGGGCTGTAGGATGTACCTATAGTCTCAATTCTAGTTGCTTTTCGGGGGATACCTAATAATTAACAAAATCCTTAATGTATATTTGGGTTAAACCAAAGAAGGAACCACAATGGAGAGTATGGGTATGCTTCAGGATTCCTTGAGTAGGCGCTCTGCGGAAGGGCGCCTTTTTGCTAGTCTGCACCCGTGTGCAGATGCACGAGTTTGGGGTGCAGCGCCGATCACAAGAGTGGCTACATCGGAAGGCATCTTGCGATTGGTCCAAGTCTAGCGGCGATCTGACCAAACCGAGGACCCCTTCTACCGCAACACCTTCGTCATTGGTCGGGGCTACCTTGGCGAAGCCTTGGCAAGCTCCCAGCCCTCCTTCAACTTCGACTGCCAGCCACGGCTGTCTGGTCTGGGTCGAGAAGGCCTTCGGCACTTGTTGGCAGGCACTCGATCCCTCCGTAGCCTGCAGCTTGGAAACGTGGACCTTGGAGGTCAGATCTGGGCAGATCTGGTCAATTCCATGCTTCCGGGGCTTTCTCTCCAGGAGCTGGTGCTCAGCCGATGCCAGCTCTCGGCTGTAAAGCCTCTGGGAGCCTTGCTCAGGGCCTGCCCCAAGTTGCGCCTGTTGGATTTGGAAGGCAACAAGAATATTCTAAAAATTCCTTCCGAGGTGGGCGAGTTGCAGGAAACAGTTGGGGAGTGTAAGCTCGACCACTTAGAGGTGCTCAGCCTACGATGGTGCCACATCTCCATATCATCGGGGACTTGCATCAAAGGCTTCTTGACGGCCAACTGCCCTGCACTGACCAGGATAGATCTCCAAGGAAACCGGGGTCTCTCTCGAAGTTTGTTTGCGGACACCTCCTTGGCGGCCTACATTCAGGGCTGCTAACGACCAGTGCCGCATCTGGCAAGAAACGCTTTTCTGCGTGGCTGTGATGGCAGCTTCATGGCAGAAATTTGGACAATGTGCCCTGCAAGGGGGTTGTTCCACAGTTAACGTACCTTGCGCGAGATTGCAGATCGATTCAAAAGAACATACGAGATATGCATGTTGAATTGAACCTTTGACGAACATCAAGAAACGTGAATGTATATCTGCTGGTTTTCACAGTTCAGAGAGAAGACGCTTGTTGTTCATTCATATGCAGTCGAAGCGTTGGAGCATGTCCACGGCCAATCTGTCGTCTTCTGTAATTTGGTCACAGTTTTCAAGCTCGGCATACTTGTTCGGGCCATATATGAACGGATTTAAGCCAAGCTATGACATAGTTCTGTCGTCGTTCTCGCCGAAAATAACCAATCAAGGAACTGGGCATAGATAGTTGGACTCACAACTACTCACAATACCAACAAGACGCAGGGAGCAGCCAAGTGCTGCTGCTGTTGAAGACTAGAAACTGCAGTTCTTGCAGTCGAAATAACACTGCTGAATCATCTCCTCACACGGAAGGTGCCAAGAAATAAGTCCCCGACCTCTTTAGCGAGCCACTTAATGAAAAGAGGATTGCTCTTCTTGAGTCGGCCAACCGCGGACATCCGGTTCTTGAATATATACGGAGAGAAAAAGCGAACACGGCATCCGATTGAAGAGTTAGTTGTCAAGCCGCCTAGCGATTTTAATAAGAATACTACATCTACAAATGACTGATAAACTCGGGGCATGTAAAATTCGTGATTTCAAGCGCTAGGCCGATTAATTGATTTAAATCTATGAAAGGGTATATAATCTCTTCAGACTATTAAATTCTAGCGATTCTATTATTGAATTAATTCTATATTATATAAATATTAGGTAATTAGTCTATTTAGATTTTATGAACTAGTTTTAGATATTTCGAATTAATATTTGAAATAAAAATATGTTTTTCTTTTTTTTTAATTTTTGATTAGGAGAAAAATATTTTTTAATTTATTGGGAGATTAATTCTCTTAAAAATTGAATCTATGATAAGAAAAGGTTTTTAAAAAATTAAAATTATAGGTTGTCGAAATATTGAATTTATATTTTCTTGGTCGTAGTAAATCGGTTGGCGGATCTGGTTCTGTTGACCATAATAAATCGTATTATCGGGTCATGATGGCTCTTTCTGGTAAATTCTTGGTCGTAATAAATTATATTGGTAGGTCTTGATAACTCTTTCTGGTCACTTTTTGATTATAATAAATCGTTCGGCCGAATCTTGGTCGTTTTTTCTAGCCCGCTGTGAGTCGTTATAGTTTCAGGTTTTGAGTCTTGGAGGTTCTTTCTGGGCTGTTCTTGGATCCTATTATCGGGTCTTATTAGTTCTTTCTAGTCAAATTTAATGATAATAAATCATATTATCGAGTCTTAGTTGCTTTTGACCATATTAAACCTTTTATTGAATCTTGGTAGTTCTTTGCAGCTCTTTCTGGCCCATCCTTGCCCATATTAAATTATATTGATGAATTTTGTCTACTCATGGTCATAATAAATCGTACTGCCGGATATTGGTGCCTCTTTCTGATCCAATTTATCTATAATATATCGTTTTGTCCACTCCTAGTTATCCTTGGTTTTAATAAATCGTCTTGCCGGGTCTTGGTGGTTCTTTCTAGACCGTATCAAATCGGAAATCCTATTGCCGGGTCGAGAACATGCTTTCTGGCCCACTCATGGCCGTAACAAATCGTACTAATTAATGGGTCTTGATGGCTCTTTCTGGCCCGCTCTTGGCTATAACAAATCAGGCTGCCGAATCTTGATTGGTCTTGGCCATAACAAATCTGCCGGCTCTTGGGCACTTTTTCTAACACAGTCTTAGCCGTAATGATTCGTACCGCCGGGTCCTAGTTATTCTTGGCCAAATCGTCCTGCCGGGTCTTTTTAATTCTTTCTCATTCACTCTTGGCTGTGTAACATCGTTTTGCCGACTCTTAGTTACTTTTTGTCATTTTAAATCGTATTGCCGGGTCCTAGTGGCTTTTTAAAATTTTTCTTAGCCGTAATAAAAAATACTCGCGGGTCGGGGTAGCTTCTTCTACCCATTTTAATCGTAATACATCTTATTATCGTGTCTTGGTGGCTCTTTCTGCCGCATTCTTGGCTAAAACAAACCGTAGTAGCGCGCGTTCACCAAATCATTAAGAAATTCACCAATCTTGGAAGAGACCCTACAGTTAATGAATAAGAGCCTCATATTGACTTAAAATATAATTGGAAATTAAAGCAGACGATTGTAGAAAGATTATATAATTGGAGATCACTTAATTTTACAAGTCATTATTAATGGTAAAATCCAAATCAAATATAAGTATGTGCTGGAACCACTAAAAAAGACCTAAAAAATATAATGGAAAATGCCTAGCATAGTATTTGATATCAAATGATAATTATTAGGTCAAAGTTAATGATATGAGTCCACACGTCACGGGTGGTTGGTTGGCGGTCGCTAAGTGGTTTACTTTTCTTTTTTGTTGTGCTTGGCTTAATTTCTATTAGAAGGAACATAAGCGAGCATAAAAACAGGAACAAAATAGACAAAGAAATACGAACCATTAAAACCCCTTTTCTCATCTGTTTCTTTCTTTTTCTTTGCTTTATGTAAAACCATACGTTCCTCATATTACAACTGAATCAAAAGAGAAGAAATGAAAGAAACGAGATTATGAGGGAACCAAAAAAAAATCCCAATATTTCTAGCGAAGAATTAATACAATATCTCAAATCACTTTGGATGTGGCAGGATTTATCGTTTGAAAGCAACGAAATTTATAAGTTCTGTTACTGTGTCCTGTGACAGAGCATGCCGTGACAGAGCAGCTGTCTTGCTCGTGACGGGCGGCTGATTTGCTTTGTGACGCGTTTGGATCATGATGAAGCTTTTGTTATTGCCTACAGTTCTGTGCCTCTGTGCTCTGCCTTTGGCGGAGCCTGTAGGCTTTTCGCGACGAGGGTTTGTTTCCCTGCGACTTTCGCGAGATTTGCATTGTCTTCGTAGATTTACCTTTGCAACTTGCTAGCTGCTGACCCCCTGCAGAATTGTACAGACAGTCCGAAGTAGTCGGAATGTAGAGACTGCTTAGCTAGATAGACCCTTGGAGACGATAACTTCTGGGTCATACAACGTGATAAGATTCTACAATTATTTTTTAATGCCACCTGGCAATTCTTGCTATTTGAACATTGTGTTGCAATGTATTTTAGGCTGCGGGCTTTTGCGTGAAGATGTTTCGAAGCAAGCCTCCCAAAGGCCTTTTGGCCGTGCACGTGCAGCATTTTTTTCGGACAGATCGAACCGTTCATCGGAATGAAAAGCCATCTCTCGTGATAACTTTTTGACAAACAGCATCTCCCAAACCCTGTAGGCCGCTGCGACGAAGCATTTGGGCCTTCTCAACCGACACTTTTTGCAGACATTCCCGCCAGAAACACCTCGCGCAGAGAGCGCATCTGATGCGCTCCCGTCGTCGACACTGCCAATGCTTCCCCATCCATAGCGGACCGCCAAAACTCGGCATAGTTGCCGGCCAGACGTTTCCTGGTTCCGGCCAAACCTCTCCTGCTTCTGGCCAGCCACACCTCGTCTGCTTCCGCCCAGCCTGGTTCTGCTGCTCGCGGTTGGATTTTTGTTGCGGTTGGACCTTGCTGCTTGCGGCAACCTGTTCCAGATGCAGCCGTGCCTGCCCCACTGCTTGCGCCAATACGCCTGGCAATCGCATCTAAATAGAGAATGCGGAGGCTTGTTCGTGGCTTGCCTAGGGGCGACTCCCGCTGCCTTTCCTTTCCGGCGCAACGTCTTCTCCCCGACGTTAACCTAAGAAAATACAGCATCGTTCAAGCTGTGCCATCGTTTACCACAAGCCAGGTACGCAACGTCGTTCTCATCCCTGCTCGCCCCTTGCAAACGGCATCCACTTCAGTCCAGGTCAAAGCGTCAACCCAGTCCTGCTCCACGAAAGACGAATGCAGAAGTCGGCGGCCAAGTATTTACAAGGAAGTGCGCAGGCAAAATCCCTTGATGCTCAAGTCCACTTGGAAATGATACGAGGGGATGTTCGAGGACTGCGTTGAAGGTTCTGAGGACTTCGGCTTTGTAAACACAAAGATTCCTCAAGCCGAAATATGCATGGCCACTGTCCAAACCGTGAATGCCACTTTGGTGACATCAATTTCTGACAAAATCAGTTTGGCTGCCGATTCATCAATCCAGGTCGCGCGACGGTGTTCTTGACAAGAAAAAGCGGCGACACACCCATGTCCATCTGGCGCTTGCAAAACCGCGACACAAAAACTTTACAGCATCAATCTCACCACCAAGTTCCCAATCCAAGTCGCACGTGTGTTCTTTTTTTAGATATCAGTGAAAGTGACTAGGATTGGAGCTTGAAGCAGTGCCCCCATAACTGTGAGCACCAGCAGCAGGAGCACACATTCGGGCACCACCCACGGACGGACACAGACAACAAACAAACGACGGCTGGCTTGAAGCACCATAGCACCACTTCCAATGGCTTGTAACAGTCTACACAAACGCATGCATTGGCAGCTACAATTTCCGGTGCCAATTGCCGAAGGATCAATTAATCACGGTTAGAATATTCCGGAAGCCGCGCCCCGAGCCTCGGAGCAAACCGACAAGGCATTTAGAGTCCTCCGGAGACCGCACCTCGAGCCCGCGCGCAGCCGCCGCCCAAGCATTTCGACGAGGCGTTTGGAGTTGTCCGGAGGCCGCACCCCGAGCCCAAACCAGCGAAAATCAGTGGAAACCAATGAACACCAATAAAAAAACAACCAGAAAACCAATCAAAAACAATAAAAAAATTCTCAAAACCAAAAAAACAAATCGAACAGCAGTCGAACAAACAACAAAAGAAACTTAATCAGAAATTAAAAAAGACAATGAAAACCAATGGAAAACCAATAAAAAC